TACTGTGCATCGGATTGTAAAAAATCAAGTGATGAACTTTGCTTGGAAATGATTGGGTATTTCAAGAATAGTTTTTATTTTAAGAGAAATCAGTGGCGTATCATCCAAGGGCGTATCCAGCACAAAACAGAAGGGGGGGCAGCTTTCTTAATTCCATCGTCTATGACGCCTACGTTTTGATAGCCTTTTTAAGGACAGGGGAGGATGCGTAAAATAATGCATAATAACAAAAGGGATATACCCAAGCTTGTTTGAGAGAGGTAGGTTGCCTGATAGTTTTTATGACGTCATCTAGGGTGCCTCAATTCAAATCTCCATAATGCACCCCAGATGCGTCATCAAGTTACCCATTACCAAACAACCTCATTAACTTTTGGAACCTTGGGATATACCTACCTTTTATTGAAGAAAACTTAATTTCTGAATAACAGCTTACGAGGATTGCTCGCAAACTTGCTAACTTACATCTTCCAACAATGGGCCACTTTCATGTGTCGGGAATATGGTAAATTTTGATATTTTTTTGACGCAGGTACTTGAATGCAACCGGGAATGAATAGTATTTTGCAAGATGTCAATCAGATTATTGAATAAAATAATAAATGAAAATGAAAAATTTAAACAAAAAATCACTGAAAACGCTGTCTCATTGGCTACAGCCGATATCATCAACTAAATGCACGCTCGATAGTGCTAGTGCTGGTGGTGTATATGGTTGTGGAAGTAATATCATAAGAGCTTTTCTAATTGTCAGAAAAACCAATTCACTTTTTTGAAACCTCAGTAATGTCTGGTGTTTCCTGTACTTGATCCCAGATTTTAAACCATATAATTCACTTTCTCGTTCGATGCCTTCTAAATTGTAGAAAGTTACACAAGGAAAAGTACTTTTTTTCCATTCGTCCACTGAAACATGTACAGTCTTGAACAATGAAAATACTCCCCTGTTGCTCACTTTACTATCACTACTTGGACCTGTCATTCGCATCTCTTCGGTTTTAAGACCTTATATTCTTTTCATAAAATCACAAATCAAAAGAAATATATATATAGTTATTTATTATACTAGGGAAAAAACTAAGATTTTAGTGCTTGCTGTGTTGTCTCCCGACGCGAAGCGGAGGGAGACAAAACACACCTCGAGCTAAAATCTAGTACTTTTTTTCCTTGTATAATACACTATTTTTTTCTGTGACGGGAAAATCTCACCATTTTTCATCTATACGGTTTTTTTTTCTGTGACCGTACTTATACTTTTTTCCCATTGAGGAAAAAATTTGACTGGTAGGTAGAGGGTGTTTGTTCATAACTGGAACACTCAGTAACTTTTTCATTATTGAAAATAAAGGGCATGTTTAAATTGGAAAATTTCTTGGTAAATTGCAACGATCTTAATCGCTACAATGATATTTTTTTGTCGCCATGTCGAAGAGATAAGAACTACAGGTTACCCAGTCAAGTAGTGATAGTTATGAGCGAGCAACGAGGGTATTTTAATTGTTTAAAACTGTACATATGTATATGTAAGTTATAATAATAATAATAATATGGTAATACCTAATACTAAACATTTATCACTACACTAAATACAGTAAATTTACATTATTTTTCTTCAAATTGATAAAAAAGTCTGGTTAGAAAGGGGAGGCAGCAGCCCCCCCTTGCCCCCCTCTGGATACGCCCTTCATCAATGTCGGCCAAAATCGGCAGGTCAAATTCCGTACAAACCCCACGGGTAGAAATTTTAAAAAATGTGATGTCAAAATTTTATGAAGGGGTTTATTTCTTATAAATATAATATAATAATGAAACAAATGATATGAATACTTGCCACTGAAAACTTTCTCCGAAATGCACCTATTCAAGATTACTTTTTTTTGACAATATTGCTGTATATTAACATGCTTAATGTTACTTATAAGCTCTTCTTAAGCCGAGGTAACTGGGTCAAAAAATAATTTAGTATTTACTCTTTTTTCTTTTATGGTTTTATGTAGGTAGGTATTCATATTTTAAATTTTGTATTAAATAAAAGGACTATTTTAGAAGATTGTTGTCACTCAGTTTGTATTACTGCTTAAGCTTTTTTTTCAGTTATAATGGAAAACATCTCATGGATTGAAAGAGAGACAGTATGCAGTGTATAAATATGATAATCAGTTTCTTCTATGAATTGTTCGATGTAACTAAACGTCATGAATTCAGATGAAGGAAATTTATTCGGTTATAAAGGTGAAAATATATTTACATGGGAATAATTAGTTGTAGGCACAACACATTTGAAAATCTTGCTTGAAATTGCAAAAAACTAGGTAGTCGTAATTCCTTTCTCAAAAACTGACGTGCGTGAAAATTTTGAAATTTTTTTACTGAATACGCATATTATAATTCGTATAGAAATATATCCTGTCTCTTAGGAAGGTACTCTTAGGTACTATCGCATTCATTTATGTTTAGCTATGACCGACTTTTGCTTTGAGACAGTGCAAAAACCGACCCTGAGGTCCTTGCGTCACGAGATCTTCATCTTTCACAGGTGAGGCTGCAGATCGTGTCTTGTATACTTGAGAGTGTGCCTCACCTAACGAGATTTCTCGAACAGACAACTGTTTCAAGTTGTATTTTACATTATTTATAAAAGGTCACCAGATACATAAGTACCTAAACATATATTTGATGCATCTGTTAAAATCTTTACTTATTTATGATTTTTGATATACTTTTTTTTAAATGCTCATTGGTAATGTGATTGATAGATAAATATATATTCCCTACCTATACCATTCTCAAGTTTAAGCAGAGAAAAAAAATCGAGGCGTCATTCATGCAGTTCATGTGAAGAAAAGTTTTTAGTAATAATAATTTCATACGTCCTCATTTTTGTCCACAGCTATGAAAGTCCTTTCAAATTGATCGGACGGGTAAATAATTTGATGAATTGAATTTTACCAAATTCACATTTGAAGTAGCATTCTAGACATCAAGCACGCTTTTTGAAACACAAATATACGATGTATGGGTACTTATCGAGCATGAGAGTTCTGTATCATCTTAATTTTTTAACATTGTTCGAAGCTTCAGTGTGTAACTATTATCATGTGTTTTTCAAATATTTAAGTAGTTTCAATAACTTTTTTAGGCTTTTAAAAATTATAAGCCATAAGTATGTTGTATTGTAATCTATGATACACATCATTCCTTTATTTCAAAATTATGTGTTAATAAATTTTTATCTCGTTCTAGTTCGTTCTCAGTTATGAAAAACTTCTATTAACCCTCATCATCTTCAAACATTTCCACCCATTATACAATTATCTCTAATTAACTCTTTTTGTGGTTGGTTCTCAGAAATACCGGTTTTACTAATTATGATTGACTCGGATGTCAATGGTAGCAAAGATTATTTCTTTGATAAGACTAAATGGAAGTTCTTCTTGCGAATGCCGTTTCAACTTTTTAAAGGTCAACAAGAAATTGCTTAAACAAATATATCATTAACTCTTAGGACTTTTGTTGTAGCGAACGAAGACTCTCAATACAACAAGATTTCAACAGGTGGTGAGTACCTACCTACCTATCGCATTTTTGTGAGGACTTATTTTTTTGCTGATATAAGTTACTTTTTCTACTGACATTTCATAATACGCTATTAAACGATTAAAATCTGTATTATAATGAACTTCATTACGATACAGATTTTCATTATAATACTCATTTTTAATATTATACAATGTTGATAGATGGCAGCACTAGTTAAGATATTAAACATTTTTAACGGTAATTTTGCGTAAAACAATTATTTTGATAACTATAAAAAATACTTCGAATTGTTTAAAAGTTACCTAAAGTTTGGGACAAAGAATAATTATTATGGAAATGATGAGTGATAAGGAAGAATTTTTACTTTTGTCATTATTATACATTGTCAATAGATGGCGCCACCAGTTACGAATTTTTTTTTTTTTTTTTTGAATGAGGACAGCACTCTGTTTATGGCTTTTCCATGGTAATTTAGCGAAAAACAATAATTTCATGAAAAAAATACTTCGAATTGTTATTAAAAGTTACCTAATGTTTGGGATAAGGCATTATTATGGAAATATTGAGTGATAACGAAGAATTTTCACTAACACCTCCAGAAATTACAGAAAGGGCGACAAATGCAGGTAATAATATACTACCGGACAAGTCCAAGAAAATTTGCGAAAAATTATATGAACAATTTATGGATTGGAAACACCAAAAACACATCGTCCTTCTCAGAAAATGTTTTGATAGTATATTTTGAAGAATTACAACAAAAAATGAAACCTTCAACTGTATGGACTATGTGTCAATTATAACATCTCTATTCAAAGTTAAGCGTAATGTTGACATATCTAAATATCATCATATCAAGTTTTATCAATGGCAGTAGAAAAAATAGTGATGCAACTCTCATGTAATAGCCGCATTAATACACTCGCATGTTATATACGAAACTCGCCTGCGGCTCGTTTCGTATCCTACAACATGCTCGTGTATTAATGGCTATCATTACATGATCATTGCATAATATACTATTATGGTCAGATCAAGTTCGTAACCAACAGATACTAGGAATATGATGGGGTGATTTGTTCTATGAATTAATTATTTACTATCACCTTCAGCAACGTTGTAACTTTAAAATACAGGAATAGTGAAGAAAGTTTAATTATATGATATGGAAACAAATAGTGTATCACTGGTAAATATTTTAAAGTCAATCAAGAATATCATCATTGTAGTGCGTATATTTTATTTCAAAAGTTTAGCTTAAATCCTTGGTTTTCAGGATAAAAAAAAGTTTGCTATGCTTGTCGGTACTTCTCAATAGGTAGGAACTATTGTTGCACAATACAAACTTCGCTTTCGTAATAAGGTAGATAGGTACAATACCTTGAAAAAATTGAAATCTTTGATAAAACCCCGACCATTCATTATTGAAAAAAAATGTCTTAATACGGTTGGTTACTTACTTGATTAACTTCCGTCATTGAAGAACAATTATTATTGTTCATCATTTTATTAATTTCGTTGTTTTTAACAGTATGTCCAGTGAACGAATTGTTACTAGGAGTAGGAGTTACTGTTGAACTAACTTGATGAACGTTATTGTTAACAACACTGTCCTTTGAACTTTTGTTTGGCGAAATCCTGGCTGGGAAACTGAGAGTTTTCGTCCACTGGGCTAAACTTCGCACCATTTTATATCCACTGTTAATAAATTATTGTCATTTAAAATTGTCTTTTATCCGGGCGCACAATTAATGTCTCTACGTACGTAGATGCGACAACCGCCTCTTACTGAACGATGAATTGCACTGTTTTGAATTCCTCTGTCGGTCGTCGCTGTGGTACCCAGTCGGCCTTTCGATGGCCTTTCCCCCACTACGAAACTCTGGTACTCATTCAGAAACAGCTGTTTCTTGGCCTGTTTGATGTGCGAGAACCGGCAAAATTGTTCGGTGAGTCTATAATTAATCCTATTCCCAGAGAAGGCTTTAGAAAGATGATATTTTGCAACTTCTTTTTCTTTCTTTAGGTATTTCCCGAATCTATTGCTTCACTTAGGTGGATTGAAATTTTAATATTTTATATACAAAGAGAACCACCTAAGTACAACTTAATATGAAAAACATTGCATGCTTTTATATTTAGCTTTACCAAAAGATATTCCAAGTTTACCTTCAAGTTGAGTGAGCAGTTTTATCATACAAACATAAAGATATCTTTTTAATTTTTACAAAAATACCCTTCATTTCTACCTGAATTTAGAATTTTAATTTTTTGTTCTTGACCCAAGACGAAAGCTGAAACTGTGAAAACCTTAGAAAAGTTGCTAAAAATTGTCGAACCATTTTCTGTTACCATCATTTACAACTTTTATATTATCTTTGTCACTGGAATTTTCATTATAACTTCTAGGTATTGTAGTGATGTTGACAGTTTTTGTTTGACAAGGTACATCTCAAAATCCCTTAATCGGATTATCTTGATGTTTTTATTGATTTTTTCAAATTCGAGCTTTCAGAAAATCAAAGAAAACTCCTAGTAACTAGGATTGTGTTCTGGAAACTTGTTCATCACTATCCAAGACGTGGACTTCCAGATCGCCTGATTTAAATCCAAGGGATTTTCTTATTTAAAACTACTTAAAATCTCTTGTATACCTACAGGACTTCGCCGATTTCACTATGTAGCGTCAAAGTTTTGAAGAGTTGCCACAGAAAATTATTAATAATTATTGAGTTGAGCTGGAATTCTTCCGAAATCATCGAATTTTGAAGTAATTGTAATTCTAATATTTTTGAGCTTTGGGAAAATTGTTTTAGGAACCTGTGGCAATAGTTTTCTTCCACCTCCTGTATATAAAAAACTAATTATAACCTACAAACTTTGCTACAAGATAACTCAAGGTAACATCTCTTCAATTCGGGATTTTTTCCACAGCGTATACCAAGAAAATACAACAATACGGTAATAAAAAAGAAAACACGAAATATCTAACTGTTCCTTTTGTGGCATTATTGTTTGCATTGTTTGGTTCTCATATTTGTTTATCGCATTCTTTAGGTTGGCGTTCATTTTCTTATTTGCCTTAATATTACTAAGAAATTTTGATTAGTTGAGATATCAAACTTTTAAATTGATGTAGGTATGTTCATACATTATTTTAGTATTTTTACTTTTCTTCTAACTCAAGATTCATTAGGAGTGGCGATATCTTAAATAATCACCCTTTTTGCCTCTTATATTATTAATATAATGAATAATAATATGTAATTGACAACAGGATGAAATTAGCCTTGCAATGTCTATAAAATCAATCTAATATTACCTATTGACACACTTATTAATTGAGGATGAAACTATGAATGTATGTAGGTACGTGTTTAATTTAAACTATTTTCTTGATGGCTATTGAATCAAATGAAATCATTGTAAATAAATGAAGACAAATAAATTACTGCGTAAGTAATTAGGTGGGTACTTAATTTCTAAGCCGAAATATATTGTACAAATGAAAAATCAAATCAAATACATAAACGTTTTTGAGTAAAATAAGATGTTATAAAGGGTTTAATTATTTTCTGTAATTAAGGCATCAAGACCATCAAGTTAGATTGGGTAGTTTTCGTATAGGTACTGAGTTTAGGTTGGAAGTAATACGAAGGAAGCTTCCTTGGGCAAGTTTCGACACTAGATTCAGATTATCATCAGTACCTACCAACTCAGTTTTTTATTAGAACGATTTTACTAAATTCAAAAAATTATAACATATATACTCACAGGTACTACCATAATAAAACTGTTGTTATACAGACCTAATTAATGTAATGTATATTCGCAATAGCGCCAGTTTAAACAATTTCCTCGACCATAATGCAGGTAACAAAAACGTGATTGTAGATGTTCATATTAGATAAATAACAGCTACAATGGTTATTTTGCCGCTTTTTCATTGTTCTAAATAAAGCGTGTCCTGAAATTTTTCTATTTCCAACCTTCTTTGCAGATTTTGGTTTAATTGATGGTATGAAGCAATAGCATACTAATTACAATAAAAGTTATGTTGTCATTTTTCATTTTCATACACGATTGTACGGACAGTATAAAAAAAAAACCATTTAAGTGAATAGTATTGATTTTCTAAATTGACTCAATCCCCTACGATCCAAAGATGGCATAAGACTGCTTAAAGACAGTTCCTCCATTATTTCTCGTTGGAAGGAACACTTTAGGAATTACTCAACAGAGAATCACAAATCAATGACATCTTCAACGAAATTCAACAGAAACCAATACAACAAGAATAATTGAGCGAGGCTCTTATAGTTCGAGAGCTGGCAGTAAAAACAACTACCTCATAGTTACCAAAGATTTGAATTGACATGTCAGTACTATCTCACATGGTGATTTCAAAAACGTCCGTCTGCCGGGCGTAAGTGGTCGCTTATATCTCAAAAACTATACGTTTTTCGAAGATGAGCGTTCCCTACAAATTTAAAGTAAATAAAATTTCCTATAGAATGCACTAGTCATCTTTGATTTTATGACAAGCGGTTTTTGCGTTAGAGCTCAGTGGAAAACAATGTCTTTTTTTGTATTTTCACAAAATCGTTTAAAACACCCACTTTTATCCCCTGCAACCCAAGAAATATGATATGTTAATAGACCCTTATATCACATGTGAGTACATTTATATATCATAAAAAAGATATCTGCCATATTTAATTTTCTCATAAAGATTTTTATGAGAAGAATTTTTTTAAATAAATTAGATGGCAAGCCATGCTTGATGAAAACATTAATAGCTGTATGCAACATCCTCTTTCAACTTTTAAAAACTGGTCACTTTTAAAATTTTGAATTGAATATAAATACAAACATATTATATTTCTCGAGATGCAGGGGATGAAAGTGGGTGTTTTAGATGTGTTTGTGAAAATACATAAAATACATTGTTTTTCACTTAGTACTAGCGTGAAGACCGCTTATCAATCATAAGATCAAAGATGATGACTAGTGCATTTTGTAGGAAATTTTATTTACTTTAAATTTGTAGAAAACGCTCATCTTCAAAAAACGTATAGTTTTTGAGATATAAGCGAAAAACTGAAAAGAGTGCTGACGGACGGTTTTGAAATCACCATGTGAGATAGTACTGACATGTCAATTCAAACCTTTGGTAACTATGAGGTAGTTGTACTGCCAGCTCTCGAACTAGAGGAGAAAGGCAATCAGACTAAAGAACAATAAGTCAGCTGGTACTCACGACATTCCTGCTGAATTCGTTAAACAAGGAGGCCCCACACTAGGTGCCCAAACCAACTTCCTAATAAGTAAAATATGAGTTACTGAGACCATACCTGCCGAACTTACAGATGCCCCAATAAATGCCATTTTTGAAAAGGAAGACAAGGTCCAATGTGGAAATTACAGAGGAGTATCTTCACTTTCTGTTGCGGGAAAGATAGGTACTTGCCAGGGGCCCGATTCTCGTCCCAGGGAGTAGAGCTCCCCGAGAGAACGAATGTTTTGTCCTTGTCAACTTAATCGAAAAGTGAACGAGAATGATAAAGACAAAAAATTTGTTCTCTCGGGGAGCTCTACTCTCTGAGACGACTGAGACGAGAATCGGGCCCCAGGATATTACCAAATCGTCTAATCCCAACTGCCGCAGAAAACCTCCCAGAGACACTGTGTCGCTTTAGGCCCAACCGATGTATATCTGACAGGATTTTCAGTGCAAGACAAATGCAAGAGAAATCCAGAGAACAAAATTGTCCTCTATACATGGCCTTCATAAATTTAGTTAAAGCATTTGATTCGGTCAAGAGAGAAGCTTTTTGGAAGACATTGGCGAAGGTTGGGTATCTGCAAAAGTACATCCAGATACTCCGCCTGCTGCATGATAAGATAAATGCAACCGTCCTAACCAACGATGGACAAGGAGAATCTTTTCAAATACCTACACGCGTTGAACAGGGCTGTGTTATTGCACGCACTTTATTTTTTCTATTTATAGGATCCATATTTCACCTTGTCGATGGTCACCTCCCGTCAGGAGTGGAACTTCTGCAGATACTTGATGGCGGATAAACCTGAACAGATTACGAGCAAAGACGAAAGTATCGACGGAATCGATAATTGAACTTCAATATGCGGATGATAACGTTGTGATGGCCAATACAGAGAAAGATCTTCAGGCAATTATCAATGTATTCAACCAGGCATACAGGAGAATCGGCCTAGAGGTCAACTTAAACAAGACGCAGATTCTGCACCAACCCGCACTGATGGGCACTAATCTCCAAGACCCAAATATAACTATAAATGACCATTTTTCGTAGAACGTAGAACAATACCCTCACCTTGGGAGGGAGCCATCTGGTAGCAAATGCAACCATTGACGCTGAAATCTATAATCGCTTGAAGTGTGCTAGCGCAGCGTTAGAGCAACTCCTGGAGAGAGTCTTCAACAATCATGAAATCAGCGCTGGGACCAAACTTCGCGTCTACAATGCAATTGTAATACCAACACTAACATATGGCTGCGAAACATGGATCACCTACAGAAGACACATAAAAAGCCTAGAAAAATGCCACCAGCGATGCCTAAGAAGGATCCTATGGATTAAATGGCAAGAACGAACGTACATTATAGTGTTTTAGACGAGGCCAAAATAACTAGCATGGAAGCCCTTATCATTAGGCAGCACTATCTTCGCTGGACAGGTCAACTCACCTCGTCCGCATGCCTGAAACACGTCTGCCACCACAGATTCTTTATAGTGAACTGAAAGAGG